AAGTAATAAGTTTATCAGTTGGCAAGTCAGTCAGTCAGTCTCGCCCCGAGCGCCCCAGGCTTTGATGAGATAGCTGGTGGTCCGTGGATTTGTAAACGTCTGTACAGTGCCAAAGCGTCCTTTTCTCCCATTCACCGTAAAATTAACCTCTGTATAAAAATATGGTTTAAAGAATTAGATTGTGCAATTAATGCAATATATGTCGAATATAAGCAAATATACCATCCATGAAAAGTATAAATTGACATTAACTGGTTGCAAACAGCAAGATGGTCAGGTAATAAGTCCTTATTTGCCTGTGCCTCTTTGTCTGCGAGGGGCACAAATATGCAGTCCCTTAGAAATCTAAAAATCCTTACAGCTACAACGTATTTCATCACCGAGAAATCGAAGTTTAAAACATTTCAAGGCAATCCGTTACATTTTAACGCTTGAAAAATTTATTGAAAATGCTCACACTTGTATAAAAACGGAGAATCTTTGTTTGCTTTCTTTTTTTTTTTCAATATTTGTTATTAATGCCTTTCACTTCTTTAGGTGACCATATGTTAAACTACTTGAACACCCTGACCACTAGAAATGCCGACCCCCAATAGAAACACAGGGGCAACCTGCAAAGGCCAAGGAGACATTTGCAAAAATATGTTTCGTAGAACACCACCTACAAGTTGCAACTGAAAGATCTTGTTGAAATCTGCTTATGGGCAATTTCAAGTCTCACACGGCTCGAGCAGCCGCGGTAAAACTTTTCGATCGAGTGCCATCAGCCAAAATTCCTCAAACCACGAACCTTTGTCTGTTTCAGAGGCCTTTTTTCGCCTTTTGTGTCGAATTTCTTCTCTGCCAAGCTATCTTTCTTGGACTTTCGTCCAGTTTTACACCCAAACCGATTGCAGAGATCTGCACGTGCGATCGAAATCAGGAAATGTCTATGCGACTGAAATTGAAAAGCTGCCGTTTATAAGATGTTTCGCCGCAAAAAGTATCTCTAATTCGTGTTGACAGGTTCTAGTTGGCCATGAACACTTGATGGGCTGAATAATTAGTGCAAAAAAAAAAATAATAAAAATTGGCTTCCGAAGGTCTACTGTATCCTTACTTTGGTTAAGGTGTTCCCAAGTTTTATAACTGATGTAATACAGACATGGACAAATGAGAAAACAACATGTCATTTACCGCTATATTTGACGGTTGTGACAAGGATTTCATCGAAAGGAGACAAACAGTGCACAACAAATCAATTACTCTACCTGTAAATCACAAGAATTAAAATTTTCACATCCACATCAATTACAAGAACAAAAAAAACTTCAGTTTTGTCACCCTTTCTTTCCATATTGCAAGAAACAAGAACAGTTTTTCCCGTTGTGATGGAGTAAAGCCAGTACTCGCCGCTGGTCGCTTCTCCCTCTTCGCTTCGTTGTATCTCCTCACATGTATCCGCTGGAAATTCCGGAATGGAACCAAGACGAACTGAGGTCGAAAAACATTTTCTTCAGAAAGTAATTCTAATTTCCATTTGCCCACCAAAAATAAAACTAAATCTATATATGTACTGGAGAGAAGGCAAGTTTTGACGTCATGAGCTTCATTGCAGGTTTCCGTCTTATTACAGTGCGCAAGTGAAAGAAAAAAAAATAGTCACTTTTGTTTATTACGGTTCTCGATGGAAAAAGGCTTTCGGGTCAGAAATTGCCTTCTGACTTAAATGTGGGAATAACTTCAAAGTATAAATTTAGACCAATTTATGTCATTCACCTATGGTCTTACTTTTCTACAAAGCCACTATTGTTCAGATGGGTTTCACTTCATTGATGAGTGTTTTCTATGGTTAAACTGACCTCTTTCCTTATTACTCTTAACATAATATCTCGCAGAATTTGGCACAAAGTTCTCTGGTCTGGCCTCCTTAGTCCGGTTATTTAGTTCACATAGTTCCTCAGAAATGACGTAGTTGAAGCTGTGACATCGGAAATCATCGTTACACGCCTGATTACATTCAACCGCAATCGATGATTTCATAGTTTTGAAGGTGTGTCTTCGAAGCATCATGCCCAAAATGGCATGCTCATCCTTTTTGCATTCTTGAGCGAAAATCTCATTAAAGTAGCACACTGCAATTACAATACAGAACCGCATCGTCATTACCACTGGTTCGTCTCTCCTCTAAGAGAAATTTTGAAAAAAATAAATATTGTGATTAATTTGGGTTGAAGAAAGCGGTATAATTTCAGTAAGAAATTACGGTAATTTTCTGTCGATTTTTGTTAATTATGCACCTGAGATTAACGAAAAAAAAAGACAGGACAGGAAATGATTCATGAAATTGCGATTTGAATGTATAGTTTAGTGCGTTGTACCACCAGCTAAGTGTATAATCTTACAAATTTATCTATTTATGCTTGTTTACACATGTTAAAATATTCATCAAAATGGCCCTGAAAATATAAAAATATACTGAGAAAATTTAACGTTCAAACAGAGAAAGAATTAACGAGGCTAATCATTCCACCAACAAAGATCGTCCATGTACTACCACCTATGAAAATATAGCGTAACGTGAGTCCTTACGTGTGATATCTGCACATTAAGTTTCAAAATATCTGACCTGATCCTTACATTTCCTGTACATACATTTTTTCCTTTCTTACAGAGATTAGATCATCCTTCAGATAAAAGCTCAAGTTTATAACTTCTTTCAGGGAATCAATCCACTGGAACATACCTGTGTGTTTTATATTTATCAATTCGTTAATACCTTGGAGTAAATTACAATCTTAAATTCTTTTGTGTTATACAAACAGTGGTTTGAATTGCCAGACTTTATGTTTTACAGTTTTAAAGGTGTCAAGGATTTTAACATACAGACAACGTTCAGCATAACAAATTAAGAGTATTTTGCAAGGAAGACGTGTTAATCAGCAGGTCCTAAACACATCGTTGAGGCAGAATTATTTAGACGATATAACTTCGTTCTCTATCGATTAAAATGAGAATAGAAAATTGTAAGGGCCTGTTCCCAATATTATTGATGTACAGAATCCCATGGACTTTGAAGGAAAAGCTACGGTATTCAGGTCAAGTCCAATCAACTTCAGTATCTTATAACACTCAGTAGATTAGTCATTAGCTAATAAGAGGCTTTCATAATAAAATTTACAATTGAGTACTGTTCACCCAAATAATCCTGCAAATTAATGACTTAGGAAATTACTTTATTGTAAAATGCTCGACTAGAACATAAACTGCATTTTCCTGAGATTTTGAGCAGTTTTTAAAATTTCCTCCGTCCTGGAAAAATAGGAAATAAGTATATCTACAGAAAGCTCTTAGCTTTTGTAAAGGAAACCCACTTTGAATGCCCGCATTTTCACGGTTTTTTTTTTTTTGTAGTATATTCTCCTTTTTTTGTCAGTTTTAAGTGTTTTAAAAACTTCCAATCAACGTGATGCCTTTAATCAGCGTTTCTCCTTTGCAACTCAGCCACAAGTGCCGGCCCATTCCATCTAAAGCTGCTGCAATTAATACAGAGGAATGTTCAAAGGGCATTTTTCAAAAAGGTTGAAGTTTGGTAAAGCAGCTGAACCTTTTTTTTTTGCAATCAATTGTCAGAAGAATAATATGTCAATGTCTCTATATGAGATTGGCTCTGAATCTTCGCGGCAAGCGCTGATTTACTCCTGCCTAAAAATCGTGAAAGTTACAGTTTTCCATGCCTTAATAAAGCCATCTTGAATGAAAAATTTATCTCAAATCTTTCGCAGCAATTAACCTCCTAATCAGGGCGCGCGTAATTTCCCATGGAGGTGTCGGAGTAACATTATGCCGAAAAATTGCTTAGGTAAATCGTGGCACAACATTTTCCATCTGTAATGTCATAAACCCGTCCGGACGATGGAAGAAAATTAAAAAAGTTTGATTTAAATGGGAGGTTCGTCGAATTCGGCCCTCCTATAATTTACATGGAGTTTTCGTTTTCGTTCAACACAATATGTCCAAAGCGGTTTTTTTGCTTTTGTTTTAAGGTTTTTGACCTAAAAATGAAATTAAATCTATGAAAAAGGAAAAAAACATGTTTAAGACTCCTATTTGTAGCAGTCAAAACAAAAACCACGAGTATGACTGAAAAAAACATTGAGTTTAAAGGTTTCTAATTAAGCTGCCTTTGACATTTTGAGTTTTCGAAATGATAACTTTGAATCAAGTTAATTGGGTATTTTAACCCAGTTTTATTTGGTCAAGGTAACTTAAGAGTGGATATTCTCGGATGCATTTGGCGAGTATTTTTTTTTTGTTTATTTCGATTAGTAAACAGTGCGAGTGATTTGGAAGACCCTTTGCCACCAAAAACACAGGGTACCAATTCATGCAATTATTTAGACGAAAGTTTCTTGTGATTTCATCTGAAACTCACCCCTTGAAAATCATCATTAGCCCTCAGCTTGGTAAAATGCGTCATTAAATACGCAAAAAAAGATATGTATGGAGAACCATTACACATTGACTTGCTTCATCATCAGGATTACCGGAGAGCTTTTACAAACGGCCACACTTAAGGGACTTGTCATTATTTATCATCTGTCGGAGGGAGGGGCGGGTGCAGGGGTGAAGGGCTTTGCTGGTGGAGGACTTTGCTGGAGTCACGATTACCTGAAACCCCTCCGTGCAGTTCTGTACATTTTTATTATCCCCACCCTTCCGCTGTCATTTCCAGTTCACTGACATTCAATTCTCTATAGTCTTCTGCCGTCATTCTCTGTCGGGGAAGACCGATTCCAAAATTCTCTACCTACCAGGTTATAAATAATGACAAGTCCCTTAATTAATGTTACTTCTTCTTCTTAATTTTTTAATTTTTAATTTATCATGATTATCATCATTATTTGTGACCAATCACAACACACTATCTGATATCGCTAAAGTAAAATTCATATAAATCACAGTTAACATCGTTCATAAGACGATTCAAGCAATTGGTAATTTTCTGAACCAGCATCGATTTAGTCTGTGCTGCAGTAGCGGAGGGAACATCCGGGTGTGCCAGTTATGTAGTAAACATAGTAATCGCCGCAGTTTATCACGTTGACAGATCTTGACAAGTTGCAGCAGTTTGACCCCCAGTGGAAGCAAACTGTCCTGGTGACCTGACCATCAGCCACTGTGGGATGAGCACCATTTAGCCAACCGGATGCGTGAGTGTTACATCGCTGTTTTGGTGGACATGAAGTAGGCATTCTTGTACCTGCTGCTACTTCAAAGCGATACCAACCATGAATACCCCTGTCACAAACCGTGTTTTGATTGCCATAGGTTATCTTTCTGTCTGACCCAGTCAGACTTTGATAGTTTTGACACTCTAAAATGGACAGAGTAGAAATGATTGACGTAGGTCCAAGAATCGAAACAAGCCAAGTAAAACCCCTGGTATTTGATTTATATAGAATATATGACCTCTGCGCTACTTATTAGTGTAGTAAAGAGATTAAAATCTCCTGGTGTATTAATCTTTACGTTTTTGACTCCGGGAAAAAACGCGATAAAAACGCAGCCAATATCTAGCCATCATGACCAAACAAATGAAGTCAGTTACGAAACAGTTTTACGGCCGCATAATCACATCAAAGAGCAAAAAAATGAATTCAATTCAAGTAGTCATGGTTTTTCTTGTTTTGACTTTCCTCGTTTGTTGTTAAAAGCATATTTAATTTCCTCTGGAATTAAGGCGGAAGATCTTCAGCGCAAGCAACCGTCTCAAACATTCCGCGCAAAAAAATTAAAAAAAAAAGTTTCGGCAGTGTTCGTTGCATGATTACCTTTTGAGTCATCCGCTATCCTCTCCCTGTTGTTGCCTAGGATTTTACTGTTGATGGTTTTCACTGTCATCCAATTGAAAACTAAAAGCAAAACTACATACTAGACGCCCGACCCCAGGAGAGTGAGCTACTGTACATTATCAATAAACAAACAATCATAAATAAAACAATCTGCTAAAGTATCAGATCTACAGGTTTTCCGCTGATGATTTATGACCTAAATTTTAAGAGCTCAGTATGGGGATGCCAAGTAGGTGCCCTTCCGTCGAACACCAAGGAGTTGCTGCCCTTGTTAGTATAAAACACCTGAGTGAATGGTGCTTTTCGCGTGCGCTGATTGGCTGGTTCGGGAGTGATTTGCAAGTTTCTAAGTTAAATCTAATTTTCAACCAATATTCGTTATATTGTCTGACATTCAAACATTCTTCATCACCACTGTCGGTTAAAGTGGTGGATATTTACCTCGGCGCTTGACGGCTCGATAAATATCCACGACTACTCTTCTCCACTTAAGTGGATTATTGTTAATTATTTTGGATTTTCGATTTTCATAACGTCACGTGAAGTCCAAAGATATGACGCAACAAAAATCCTTGAGCGCAAACATGAAGCAAAAAAAGTAAGTTGCTAATTGCTTGATTACTATCTGAGTAATAAGTTTATTACCCCCCTGTTGTTTGTATCTACGTCAAGCCGGATGCCTGCGTGAAAGCATAGTTACAAAAGCAGCAACATTGGAAGGCCCGACTCAACTTTGTACCTGATGGGAGAGGAATGCAAGATTTTCCATCCCCTATGTAGGGCTGGTTACATGAGCACTTGAACGATCTAGATTAGCAGGTTGATACAAATAACACATACAATGTAGGACAGGAATAATAGGTACCGCGCTAGAAACGTTGTAGGCCACATACATAAGTCGATTTTATGCTTTTTTTTTCTGGTATGGATGGTAGTCGGTTAAAATGGTAACGGTCATCATACGCACACATTTGCTTGCTAAAGCTGCATATTAATGTTAGTTTGGTCTGAATGCTTTACAATTAATCACTTGCTAAAGTTTCTTGGTCGAGCCGTGATGATCGAAAGAATTTGGTCCTTGAAAGTCTACCGAATCCTAGGGTACACATAACTTCTGTTACTCAATAAATACAGACACTTGTAAATGGGAAATGATGAGGGTAAGGTCTGCTACTATTTATGATGGTTGCTTTAAGGTTTTCATTGAAAGGCAACAAAAAGTGTATAATATTGTCATTTGCTTTATATCTAAATTACCAGAACTATAAATTTTTAAATAAAATTTTTCACATTCATATCAACTGCAACAACAAGAACTCAAATATTTTTACCTTCTGTTTCCATATCGCAAGAAACCAGAGCAGTTTTCCCGTTCTAATGGAATAAATTCAGTACTCGCCACTTTTCTCTTTTCCATCTTCGCTGGCCTTTATCTCTTCACATTTTTCCTCTGGAAATTCAGGAATGGAACCAAGAGGAAATGAGGACGAGAAATATTTTCATCAAAGATCATTTCTAGTTGTGCATCCACCCTCTAAAAACGTCCTTTTTAGACGTTAAGGTGTGTAGTATTGCTGAGTATTTTTACGAATTGAGCCGTCAACTTGTCACATAAGGTTTCAAAGCAATTAAAAGTTGAATTTTATTTTGGATCGTTGTTCTCAAATGGTACACATTTGAAAGTACTGCAATTACGAAAGTGTACATTTATCAATGAAAATTGATGAGTAATTTATCGCCAGTAACAAAGCTTTAACTCTACCGGGAGACAAGCCCTTAGCATATGAAAATGATTTCCAAAACTACAATTCATTTTCATCATCCGACTCAATCACAAAGCGACGACGCTTTGCATCAATCGTTGCCGGTACTTGAGGAGCTGAAGGATGTGAACTAACAACTATGGAACAGTTGTTAAATACGGTACAAGAGAAGGCACGTGTAGCCAACTTGTCAAACAGGTTTTTTTACAGTAGAAAATAACCAACTTTCTAAATAACTGTACAATATCGCAGGATATTTGTACTCTATTCGCGCGTTATTTGTTCCCTACTTTGTGTAGCTGGATAATAAACTTCATCACTTTTCTCAAACAAAGAAAAATATTTGGAGCTGGGGCCTGGAAATTCAAAATACGGATAACGCTATCCACTTGCTTTCATGGAAAATAATTTGCTTTCAAAAGTAGGAATTTGGAGTAATATCATGTCATTTGTCTATGCTGTCTCAAGGTTCACCAACCAAGACCCATGATAGTTTAGAAAGTTTAAATTTTACACTCAGTGTTAGTTCTCTGGTCTGGCCTCCTTAGTCCGGTTGTTTAGTTCACATAATTTCTCCGTAATTAAGTTATTGAGGCTGTCACATCGAAAATCATCGTTACACGCTTGATTACATTCGACTGCAATCGACGATTTCAACTTTTTGAAGGTATGTCGTCGAAGAATCATACCAAAAATTGCATGCTCATCCTTTTTGCATTCTTGAGCGAAAATTTCAGACACGATACACAGTGTCATTAAAATAAATAATCGCATAATCCCGCCCACCGGCTTGTCCTTTCCTGTAAGATAAATTATGATTCAAATTAAAGACCAATATTATGCTATAAAGCTAAGAATATAAGTATTTTTTGGATATTGGCTAAAAACTGTTGAACGAATGAGGGAAAAATCCACGAAACATCAAAACCAACAAAGATAAGGATGGAAAATGAACTTTGAGATTCAGCTTTGTTCGATTGAAAACCTACTAAGTTTTATTAATGCCCCCCTTACTTAAAGGGAGGAAACTCGCAGATTCTTTGAAACAGTCCTAAAACATGTATGTTGGTGAGAGGATTCAACGCTCAAACAGACAAAGAACAAATTCTATAGTTAATACTGTAGCGATTGAACCTTTGGCTGCTCTGTATTTGGAATAACTCTTCAAAATATGTGATCTGGTACTTTACATATCTTGTACATACCTTGATTGCCGTCCAAGGTAGATGATAGCACCTATTGGAAACTGTTTAGGGAAATTTGGAATTTGTTTAGGGGATCAAGTTACCCAAAAGTAATTGTTTATATCACATTTCACTAGTTTAGTGTTATCTTGGAGTAGATTATAATTATAACCCTAGTGTCGTGATGTTTAGAAACAAGTGGTGGAACAGGTGTCAAGGTTCGGTACGCACAGACAAAGGCCGGTATTACAAAAGACAAGTATTTTAATAGGATTTTTTCCCCCCAGCAGATCCAAAACAGATTGATGACTAAGATTTCTTCAGACAATATAACTTCAAGGTCTCTTGGTTGTACGGGAAAAAAATTGTGAGGGTCGTTTCTCCACATACTATATATATATAAATTTCAATTTTTTTTTATCGCGCAGTAGGTCAATAATCATGAGGAGGTTTTGATACTGACATTTATAATTCAGTATTCTTCACTCAAATAATGATTTTACCTACTGAACTGAAGGAAAGTACTTAGTTCTGGCATGTTTGAGGAGAAATGAGAAAGATGGTCCTAAGATTTTATGATAATTTTTACATTCCTTATTTTTTGCATCTACGCAACACAGTAAATGCTTACGCTTTAATACTTGATTTGTTTTCTATTTTTTAATTTTCTGACCATTTTAATACTGTCTAAAATTTAAAATTAGTACAAAACCTTTTAACTAACGTTTCTCATCTGCAACATAGCAGCAAGTACACGCCCTTTTCACGTAAAGGTACTTCAATTGATAACGACGCAATTCCATGGGCAGATATGAAACGATGGAGTCAGGTATAGCAACTTAACGTTATAGCTTTGCCAGATACTGGTGCTTATTTATCAGAAAGATAAGTCTTATAATGTCAGCTGTGAAACTCTAAGCTCCAAATCTTCACCCATTTCCTTCATGTATTTCCACAGTTTTCGTGGCTTTGATGAGCTTATCTCGAATGAAAAATTTATGTCACACCTTCCACAGGAAACCGATCTCCTTATTTTTTTTTAAAATTAGAATCCTAAGCAGGTCGCACAAGTAATTTTCCAAGAAAGTGTTATAAGTAATATGAAATCACCTGAAACAATGGAGGAAAATGAAAATAATTTGATTTACATGGGGAGTTCGTTTAGTTTATTACAGAATGCCATTCGGATCACGTTCAATACAACATTTAGAGAGCGCATTTTTTTCTGTTTTACTTTTTTTGGAAAGAGGTTTAGCACTAGTTCTTCCACCTTAACTTATTTAACGCTTCTTCTCTGCTACAACTGTTTCGTTAAACGTTCATTTCATTTAATCATTTGTTAAGCTTGAAAGCGTGCGCTGTTTGTGCTTAATGTTGCGCGCACTCCGTATAGATTTGTAAATCGCTATAATTATCGCAATGTTTTTCGCATGAAACGGTTAACTCAAGACGCTTAGTCTAGTCGTTCATTTGTTTAGTTTAGTTTCAACCAAGTTAACGAGTTATTGTAATTGCTAAACAGCTATTTGCCACAATGTACGTCAACAATAATTTTTATTTTCGAAGGGCTGACGCTTGAATTGTCAACTTTTAAACTCTTAACGGTGGCCAATTTACATTATCGACTCAGTTGATAATACTAAATTACCCTTTTTTATTGACCTGCTCATCTCATATCGACTATTGATAAAACAACAAGGAATAAATATCGACTTCGTTAGCTGTATTTCGTTCAAATAAACTAGCGTTTCATTAATTTGGATTAGCTCCAGGATCACAAGTACATTAAAAAAAAGAAAGAAAGACTCAATGATTATAATGCTCACAAATGGGCTATTTAGATTATCGATAAACTAAAAAACCTCTACGAAGCGACGTCTTACCCTGTGTATTTTTTTGCTACTAAATATCTTAAAGTTTGTTTGCGTACCCAAACTTTTTTATAAGTTTTTTGATAAATCTGTACTCATGAAAAACGTCCTAACATAACGAAAATAGATGTCACTCTACTTCCTATTAGGTTGCTCGAAAAGGACAGATGAAAATTCTAGAAACGAGCTACCTAGATAACTTAATAATCAGGGTGTGGAATATTATGGTCCTAGACGGTGACATTTTTAATACCTGGCCAGGGTAAGAGCATTCTTATCATCTCATGTTGAAAAAGGAACAGATGAATTGGAATATATATAAAACTTCTGCAAGTACCACCACGACAGCTTTTTCTTGTTAATTAAAAATCGGCTTTTGAAAAGCAACTGTAATACTCAAGAAATGTTTTGGAATCAGCCAAACAATTCTATAATTTGTACAAGGCCATTATCATTCGAGTTCCCACCAGTCAAACCGGAACAATCTTGGCCATTACAGTACGAGCCTCCTCCACCTCCGGCTTGATTCTGACTGGTACCACTACCTCCCCCAGAGTAACCACCACCTCCACCTGATGCACCATTATCCTCTGATCCACCTCCTCCACCACCAAACCCACCAACTGCTCCTGGTGCAGGGCCCCCGTTATTCCCGCTATTCATACCTCCGGCTTGACCTCCGATCCAGCCTTCAGCGCGTGATCCACCTCTTTCCCCATGGGAGGAGCTTAATCGGGTACAACCTTGACCAAACCACCCCGCGCCCACTCCTCCGTGGTAGTTGCCGCCCTTGCTGTTGCATTCACCTGGCTGCCCACCTATGCCTCCATTTCTAACTCGTGAGGATTCTTTCCCCACACTTCCGGTGCCATTTGAACCAGCCTGACCATCCACACCATTATATCCACCAGACGCACCCCCTCCTCCTCCGGCAGCTACCAACAAAACATTATCTGCAGTATAAACAAAACTTCCTCCCCCTCCTCCAGTGCCAGCATTGTCTTCCACGGACACTCCTAGTTGAGCTGCTGTTTTGCTAGTGCTTTGTCCGCCTTGAACCTCCACTGAATCTCCTCCCCTTTGTCCCACCACAATATTTAACACTGTTCCATTATTCAGTGTGAACTTGCCTTCTATAAACGCTCCCTTTCCACCATAATATGTTCCTGGAAGGTATCCATAATCGTATGAATGTGTTCCACCCTGAGCACCCCAGGCTTTGATGAGATAGCGAGTGGTCCGTGGTACAGTGAATGTCTGTATAGTGCCTGAGCGTCCCCTTCTCCCATCGGTTTTGAGATTCAAAGTAACTTTAAAAAGAAAAAAGTATTTACTCCTGAAATGTGCTATTAAGTAATGGACTCCTGGCTATGAACATGATATCTGTGAAATTTTAGGGGAAAATGTCCACAAAAATCGTGAAATAAATTTGAAGCGTTGAAAATGACAAGTGAGTTAGTCTGTCTTAAAATCCAAATGTCCTTACGGTAACAGTTTGTTGCATTGCCGAGAAATCCAGGTCTGCAGGAACAGCGATAAGAGCCTAAGGTGTTCTCACAATCGGCATTGACTGAACAAAATGATGGGAAAGCATTGCATTCATCAATATCTATAAAAAAGGGAAAACCAAGTTACTTTTTCTTCCTTCTATGCAAATTCTGCGGAAAACCGAAAACCAAGTGCTAAAAGACGGAAAATCTGCAAACCGCAATGAACACCAAAACCGAAAAACACCAGAACGTTTTTTGACACAAAAACCAAAAACCCCTTCTAAAAATTAGCAAACACCGGAAAATCGAAAATCCCAATACCCCCCTCGTTTAGTGATATCAATCAAGCCACTGATTCTTAGTTGAAGCGGCAGAGAAACTGAAAGTCAATCAAGGCGGTGGAAAGAAATTGAACACAGGGCGAAAAAGACAACAGTTATAGGAATGACTGAACGAAAAGATGCCATTAATCCGAGAAAAAATTATAAGGGAGGCTGCAGAGTAATAGTTTTTTGCAAGATGAGGCAAAAAACCTGTCAGATAACGTTACCTTCAGATCTCGTTATGCTTTTTTGGTATAATTAAATCGTCAAATAAAAAACAACTCGGCCATGTCGATTGAAGTTTTTTCAGTGCGTTAGTGCCCTTAGGAAGGAGATAACGGCAACAGAGAATTTTTTCTGGTATATGAGATTATACTTTTAAGGATTTCGCCTCCGCAGTTCTGCCCGTCTCCAGTGAATCCAGGCTTACAAGAGCAGATGAATGATCCCGCGGTATTTGCACAAGTGGCGTTCCTCTTGCTACAGTTGTGAGTACTTTTATAGCACTCATCAATGTCTGAAATGGGATGAACGCCATATTCATAATTCTTCTTTGTTTATCTTGAGGCAGAATGTGGAGGTAGGGGGAAACACTATATAGCTTCAAAATAACAGTAGGAATTGAGAACTGAGAATGTTTAGAGTACTCATCCAAAAAGAATGCAGAAAAGACGGTAAAGAAAGTAATCCATTGCCAGCTAAAGAAAATGATACAAGTAAAATTAAAATTGGGACTATCAACCGCACGAAATCAACTAAATACGCCACCTCTGATACTGTAATAACTAATAGGTCTGGTCACAGAAGAAATAGCCTTTGATGCAGGAAGCTGTGTGCGTTTTACTTGTTGAAACGGCAGAAAACTTGCGCTGATTAACTTGTATTACCTGTGCAGTTGTATCCATCCCCAGTAAATCCAGGATTACAAGAGCAAGTGAAGGATCCTTCGGTATTTGTACAGGTTGCGTTGCCTTTGCTACAGTTGTGAGTATTTTCAAAGCACTCATCAATGTCTGAAATGAAGTCAACACATCGTACCGTTTGTTTATATTGAGGCAGAATGTCGCAGAATGAATAGGTGGGGGGGAAGGAAGTTGAATGTAAACCTTCGAAATGACAGTATACTTGATGATACAGTTCTGTAGGCAAAAAAAAAAGAAAAGAAAAAAAATATATATATATCGGGATAGGAAATGTGTGATCTTGATGTTAAAAGGCAATTTGAATTCTACCAAAAACTACGAAATCATTTGGGCTAGTTTATTACCGTAAAGACAAAAACACCAGGTCTTTGTTTGAATCGCTTTTGATATGGGGAGACATAGTGGCACGAAGGAATTCCATTACCTGTGCAATTTTGTCCATCCCCACTGAATCCAGGTTTACAAACGCACTTGAAAGATCCCCCCGAACTTTCACAAGCAGCATAATCAACTGCTACAGTTGCAGGTAATTTTGGCAAATTCTTCGATGTATGAAGTACAGAATGAAATTGGTGAAAGATACAGGTACTAGATATCTCGTCATTTCTTCTAATGGCGTTGTAATTGTTATATTTGTGGGTATTTCCAGTATATTCGAGGATGGAGGGAAGGAGCGATTCGGAGAAGGGGGGTTTTCATGTATATTATAAAAAAGTATAACATTGCGAGCTCATTCATTTTTGATAATATAGGAAAATTAAAATCAGGAATCTGGGGCCCGTCTCCTGCCGAAAGATAAGAATTCGAGCACGCTCGTCAATAACCGAAATTTAATAAGCAGTTCGTATCATTTATAGTGATAAAATATAACAATAAAAAGGGTATGGAAACTGGGATTTCAATCTGAAAACGACAGGGTGGTCTTAAGGGAAAAAAAAATTTTAACCCCCCTCCACGTGGAGGGAGGCTCAAACTCTTTCTGACCACACAGGACAGATCCGTAAACGTACTTCTCTTAAAAGATGCTATGTCACGTAATCAGGAAATGAGTTTGCAAACGAAAAACTCATTTTGTACCTCGAGTAGCATTGTTTATATCCTTTAGGGACGTAGTCAGTTAAGGAGAGAGGAAAACACACGGAATTTTTTCTGCCTGAAAAGGTCATGCTCTGCAGGACTATACCTTCGCATTCAAGTCCATTTCCGCTGAATCCAGGATTACAAGAGCAGATGTAAGATCCCTCAGTATTTGTACAATTAGCATTCTCGCTACACTTGTGGGAATTCAGAGCACACTCATCGATGTCTAAAAGAAAATCATCGAATCGTTCTTATGATCATTATTATCACCACCAAGTTAATGTGCAAAAGAAAACCAACTTAGGTGTTATAATCGGAGCACATTATGATTAAACATTAAAAGGTGTGTTTTTACTAGAGGTTAATCCTATACATCTATGTATATCCCCGCTGAATCCATGTTTAAAAATGCACTCGAATCATCCTATGCTATATTAAAGTTCACACGGCAACCAGGTGGACAATCAGACATAGTTTGACGCTACTCTGGTTTGCAGATTTAATGAATGTAACCGAAGAAGTTACGATTCATAGACCCAACGTTTCGACACTCCTGTCTAGTGCCTTCATCAGGGGTGATCTAAACGCTGCAACAAGAGGTCCTTTTATATGATCACTAATTAGCGGCCTTTTTTCTGACGAAGTGTAAATAGGCGTCAGGAAGCAAACCGCCATCGTCACTTGCAAAGAAAAACCGCTTTTTGGTGCTTTTTTAACCGTGTACCAAACTGACATTTGGTCTGTCTGATGTATTCGTTGTCACAGTCATTGCAAGAAATAGAATAAATGACGTCGGTTCGTTGTTCCTTCGTGACAGGATCCTCAGTGATCATATAAAAGGACTTCTTGTTGCAGCGTTTAGATCACCCTGATGAAGGCACTAGACAGGAGTGTCGAAACGTTGGGTCTATGAATCGTAACTTCTTCGGTTACATTCATTAAATCTGCAAACCAGAGTAGCGTCAAACTATGTCTCATCCTATGCTATTTAAGCAAATGACCTTTTCATTGCTGCACTTGTGGGTTTTTGTAGCACACCCATTGATGTCTGAAATATAATCAATAGCCCTCTGGTCAAAATGGTGAAGAACGGAGGTTGCGTGAAGGAGGTGGGGGAGATATGATGTGTTAAGCTGTTTGTCATCAGTGACGATTTTCGAAGCAAGTGAGCAGTAAAATGCGGGGTTACAGAGAAGTTCTTCGCTCCACTTTTCCTTGTACTGAATGCCTATAATATCCTGGGGTGAGACTTCAACCCGAAAGAGGCGGGATGGTGTTTGAAATGCAAAAGGAATTCAACACTTAAGGGAGGTGGTTTGAGTTCTTTGCTGTTCATCCTAAAAAATTTTATATGGCAGAGCATGAAATTTCAAGTTGCGCTCCCATCCTTGTTTTCCACCACAATGGGCCACATTTAATTTGTCATAAGTACAACCGCTTCTGAATCTTGGACCCTCTGAAACAATGGACTACCACGTTAAAATAAAAAAATAAAAAAGAATCGATTTCTCTGATTTTAAGCGTTACCTTTTTCACAGTCGTGGCCAGTAAATCCAGAAGCACATAAACATCGATATCGTTTTCCTGTAAATCCCGACTGACAGGTGCCGTAGTTCTCGCATGGAGATTGAGCGCAAAAATTCTTCAACAAAAATAAACAAACAAACAAACAAAAAACAGAAACGGAAATGAACATGTCACGGGCGTTAAAAGAAAATTCTGCTTTAGACATATTGCATAATTTCCAGAGTTAAATATACCACATTTTCAGCATGAGGCGACAAGAAGAATTGTCACTCCCTTGGACGGGATGTCGCAATTAACTGTTTAAAATCTTGATAGCCGTTTTCGACACTTCGCCGAGAACCTGAACACAACTTGGTGGAGAAAGAAATTCAAAAAGTCTTTGTTAAGTCACTCCCATCACTCTGAAAACTCGAGAGGGGGCGTCTAAAGATAGGCTATTACAGAGTAAATTATCTTTCACAAAAGCAGTACTCGTAACCCCGGTCATAGCTCAACTGTATCGTTATAGCCATAGTCGTACGTGCTCTTTAGCCATGAGAGGTATCTAATTATTTCGATTATTTAACCTGGTACATTCATGCCTGAAAACCAATTGAATTCAATTACCTTTTGTAAAAATGCATTCGAAAGGCCATTCAATTTATTCTTGGCCACGAAAAATATTTAAGATGAATGAACATGAGTGGTTCGTAGTTGTGCATTCTTTATTGCATGAAAAATAGCGATCAATTGTCTATTCTAAGCCGGTGACCAACGTTCTGAAATGACTAATAAAATTACATGCTTTCATTTATAGAGTTGGGTGTCCTCAAGGCACTCATGGGACTTTTGATTTTTGTAAGTGCTTATCTACAAAAGATCCGTAACGACATCAGCATTTGTCTAAAATTTATGTAAAAATAATTAATATTGAATAAGTGGCGTTTCACAGACATGAATATAAAGGGTAACCCTCTAGCTCTAATGAATTGAACAAGAGAGAGTTGCGCAATTGACATTTAACGACTGGTACCTTAGTTCCGTGGTATACATAGTTCGCTGCTTTCACTAGATTCTTTTCATACTCTTTACCCGTTGAGTTATTCAGTTCACAGTTGTGTGATTTTTCTCCTTTTTCTCCAAAATAAAAGTTAACACTGACGCAGTTGTGGTCCAAGTAGCAACGATATTCACACGTGTCCCTGTCAATCACACTGATGTTTGCTATGGTATGGTTAACAAGACGTTCTCCCACGAAGAACAAAGTGGATGGAAATGCCAGTATACGGCATTGATCTAAAAACTCAAATCATTAAGAGTTAAAAAGCGAAATGAGTCATCAATTCTGAGGGTCTCAGATGTTAATCTCACAGTTCAATGCACGTGGTACGTATATCCATAATTACAACATATTCACTGAGTTATCGGAAATCAAGTTGTATTAAGAGTAACATCGGATAAGGTTTTTATCGAGCCATGAATCATGACCTTTTGTACATTATTTCAAGTCATAATTTATTATCAAAGTTATTATAACAAAGCGCGCCTGCAAGTCCTACTAAACTCCTAATGAGCCAGCATGGTGTCTCGAAGTAAACATGGCGGAGGATACATAATACGAGTTTTGCAATTTACTTCAGCAAGTAAGTTCGCGTCTATCTTATTCGAGTGGTTTTAATACTCTAAAGATTCTTTAGAACAGTAAATTTTAATTGAGGTTATAAAAAGTGTTGTTGAATCAAAGGTTATGCTTTTAAAGTCTTACAGTTTTCAGAATCGTCAAATTGTTAACGCAAAGCCACACATTCTGGTCGTGAATTCTAGTAAAAAATTAAGATTCCAGCATGCTGAATCGATTAAGCGAGTCTCGTAAATGCAAGGAGTTCTCCGCTTCTAGGCAGTAAATTTGGCACTTCTTTGAAGTAAGCTTTGGTCTCTAAATATTTATTGATCGTATACACCTTGCCTTTTATCGATAGTTTTTGGGTGGTAGGCGATTACCGGGTAAACACGACTCAACTGTGGTAGAAATTTATCTTTGTGCACAAGTCGTATCCGCCATGTTATAAGAAAATTGATTCCTGCTCTTCGCGAGTGTATATCGTGTTATGGATTCACACTGGAAGTTTAGAGAGCACTCAAGAAGCTAAAACTTCTCTTGGCTTCAGCTCGAGCAACTCACTTCTTTTGTGCTTTGAAAACTGCCCTCGAGCATCAATTTCTCGATAAGCACACGCTAAGAACAAACTATGTTTAATTTTACATTGCGATTTTAATTTTTGCTTTTTGTTCTGTTTTGTTTTTCCATCATTCATACCAATTAGCCACCTGTCGAGTGACAAGTTTTAATGTGCCCGCTTTTCTGCACTTAGTACTCCGTTTGCATTATTGAAAACATAACTGCTTTCCCTGCATTTCAACAATTTTAAAATTTTTATGACACAAGCGAATAATTATGTACCCAAAGAAAGATTCTTATTCCACAAGAGAATCTAAAAATAGGAGAATGGAAAACATTTCATTTCCAACTAGTTAATACATCAATTTGTCTTTCCTTAAGTGCAGGACTCTTCATAACTGTGGGATCTTTCTTGCGAAAATTTTGTCATTGATTTTAGATGGCCTCGATAAAACTTAAGTTTATTTTTATATGAGTGTTTCAAAAGAATTCAAGACTATAAGCAGGGCAAAAAATTTGAGCAGTTAAGAAATTCCGAAGATTGTTCGGTCGTAACTAAAGATACTTTGCAAACATACGTTCGCATATAGTGAAAAGGAATCAATGATATTTTCGAATGAATAAAAGATAACAATGCATTCAATTGGATTATGAATTTTGTAGCCATTTTGCTCGTTTATGCCCCTACGTGTATATACGACAATTTAAGTATTTCAGTTCTTGAGAATTCGTGTTTCCATTTTTAACCCTTTGCATACCAAGGGGGGTGGTATTTATTTCACACAAAAATAGGCATAGTTACAACAATGCTTGCCAAGTCTGTTCTTTATTACAGACACCTGCAGACCTATACATATTTAGAAAGCTAGGAAATTATGCTTTCATATGAGTTAGAGAAATTATGGGATATGATACTTTTGTGACGTCACGAGCCACCTAATTAGCATAACTATGCAAATAAGAACTGATACTTGGTTTAGTGACTAGGCCCATATCTAAATAAAGACTTAACCAAGCTTTCATTTCATCCACAGTGACTGGGTACCATACAGAACTTTCTCTCGGGCCTCTTTTCTGTTCTGCATACAAATTGGTCTGACTAACTAATAACTGCCATACCTCTGGTGTAAAAAAAAGTGAGAAGAAATCCAAACACGATTTAAGATCTCTGGTGTTTACATTTATTCCAGGGTTTTCTTTAAAGTCAATATCTCTTCTTCGTTTAATTTCTCTGGACCACTCTCTTTCCACGACCTCCATTACCTCCTGTGTGCTCTCATCAGCCGAGTCTTCACTGGACTCCTGTTCGCTGGATTGCGATTCATCGGAGTAAAAATTCTTCTTCAGAGGCTCGATGCTCCATTATGTTTATAAGAGGGAAGTCATCCTCGTCAACAAAGCGAATTTCCACATTGCTTTGATCGTTTGCGGAGCAAAAATCGAGTGTGCGATCGGGGTTAAGAGCCGCCATTTTTAAATCACCGTGCTGAAAATGTTTAACTTATAAGAAACTCTCAAAATTCGTCTCAATTTAAGCGAAAATCGAGCAAAATCGAGCAAAACTGCAAAATAACTTCATGTAATCTGGCACAGAATGAAATAATCGCGTCCAGGCCCTTAGATCTCGTTTTATGGTCTCCGAGAGGGGAGTTGTGATTAGCTGGCCATATATGGCCAGTTGGTACGCAAAGGGTTAACATAGTAAATTGTATAGCTAAAAATTTTAAAGGAGAAAAATAAAAGCTTATTATCAACAAATGCAAGATTTGAAACCTACCATCTGGGCAGGATAGAACTTGTCCGTGGGAGAGCACCACAGAAGTGAAGAACAAATGGAGAAAAACTCCCATATTCTAAAAAACCAGCTGAAAAGAAATCCTTTCGATGTTTTGTGGCTGTTGAGAGAATCGAGAAGCTTAACAACAGTTTGTTGACGGCGATGTATCAGCGATTTAACGCTAAACTTCCTAGAAACATGATAGCCAATCACAATTGGACATATAAAAGATGTATAACACTCTCTCACAGAGAGGCTGTTAGATTAAATGATGTGTACTAAAATAGATAATTTTGTTAGTTTTCTCCACAGGCTGTTATTTCCATCTTTCACACGCTATTCTAAGGGATCCTTTTTGTGTACGTTTCAATAATTATAGGCAGCATCAAAAGAAAAGAAAATAGTAGTTAAACTCAGTAAAAATGCAAGCCCACACAAAAAAAGCCTACAAATCTGTTTTGCTAAAATTTCAAATTGCTAACTCTGTTGCATTCTGACCAAATTTTCTCGGAGATTTTAGAGCATATTTTCAGAAAACATGGCTTCACGGAAGCAAACTCTGTTGTTCAGTGGCGTTCTCGCTAGGAGAGTGCTTCTCGACTTCTCGTCGAAAAAAGTTTCCCTTTTTTTGGACATAAAAACGGTTTAAGACATGTCTCAGAGATAGTTTGGTTGTTCTTGAGTTCTCTTTTTTTATGGGTTTTTACAAGCTAAAATTGATATTTTGGCTAGATTACTGCGACTGCAATAATATAGCTCACGGATTTTCCTCTTTCTTCAAGTTGCGGGATTTATTCAGTCAGAGTGTAAATAAAATATGGAAACTTTACATGAAATCTTATTCATACCAGCGTGATCAGAGCAGACCATCTCTTTGAACATAATTTGCAGATCAAAAATCCAACAATGTGTACAAAAGAATTCTTAAATGTACGCGTAAATCGGGCTAGAAAAGCATATCAGTGGAAAGTTTTTACACCAATTAGGCTACTGATAGCCACTAGCTTTCATCTACCAACGTCTTGAAAACAAGGCAAATCAATGTGTTTCCTCCAATGCGCTAGCGTCAGAGCGCATTTGCAAAATTCTGAAAATCAACCAAGACATCTTTTTGACCGTTTAAACTTATTTCATTTACCTCCTACACGAAGGGCTTTAATTTTTAATGACAATTGGAAAAGATCCTGAGTTGTCCTAAATCGTTGCATAAACTTGATCGTTGTATCAGGTTACCAACCACGCACAACGTGGAGAAATTAAAAATTAGCGAATAGAATTTTGCATTCTCGTCGTTATAGAGATAATGCGTAGCTAAAGTGACGCGCAAATATGTTAAAATACGTCACAGTGTGTTTTAGTAAACAACACATATACACTCTGCAATATTACTATTCTGTTTTAGTCGAGTTAAATTTTAACAGGAAATATCCCAGGTTTTATATATAATTAGTATTAGACATGAAATTCCAGCAATTTCAAGTCAAACTATATTTTAGCTCTCAGAAAGGCCCGTAATTCTTGTTTTTCAAAGTAACCTTCAAAACTTACATCGGCCTATATAATATCTTTGAATGATAGAAATGAAATTTGTGGGACTGTTTTCCCGGGGTTCCATTATTCAATTCACATATGTTCTGTTTTTTATGAGTTTTCCTCCGAAACCAGGAAACCCTAGCCAGGTGACTAGAAATTCTCAGTTTCATTTAGAGCTTGTCCACAACACAACTTCAAACTTGCTTGTGCTTATCGCATCCTTAAAAAACCTTCCAGACCTCTTCAAAATTGTTGAAAATCCTATTGAGGCTAATAATAATCTTTGAGTTAACTATGACCAATTTACGCCGCGAGCGCAAGGAAAAGAGAACCACTCCGCAGGGCTGAATACGCGATGTGGAGTGCTATAAAATTCCACATTCTCGCGTGTAACGCTTTCTCTAGAGACCTCTAGAAGTGTTTAGCGACGATAAACAAAGCTATTTTTGGTTAACTCAGAGAACTTGCAGAAATACCTCCAGCCTGCATAACAGGCGCTTTCTGAGCCAAGCGAGGCGAAAGTGGCATTTTGCGCGAAGGGCGAGAAGCGACGAGGGGAGTAGAAAAATAAAGCTTTATTATTCTCCATCCCTCGTCTCGCGCTTCGCACTCGTTTCGAGCTTCGAGCAAATGCCGCGTTCGCCTCGCTTGGCTCATGAAGCGGCTGTTATGCAGGCTAAAATACCTCTTCACATTTATAAGATAAGGTGTCATCGATTTGTTAGAGTGGGAAGAGACATTTATAACGTGCAAATAGTCGCGAGCTGAAAGGTAACTGACTGATTTGTAACAAGAACTCACCCTGACAAACAAGAAATGATCTCACTTTCCGGAAAGGCACGCTCTTTTAAACATAAACAAACTTCAAAAATAAGTAAAGGAAGCAAAACAATGAACAAAATAGATTTTTTCTTGACTTAGTTATTCCGGCGAGAACAAATGGTGAATGATTCATTCCTGGAAGCAAGCCTCTAAGGAGAAGTGAGAACACCGTTTGGGCAAAACTCTACAATTTGTGTACTTTACTAGCGTGTTCACAGACTCTCTTCATTTTTAGATATCTTCGAGTGCACGTATAAAAAAAAAGCGCGTTCCGCCCTCTCTCACGAGCAATCGCTTATCTTGTGCGCGCACCAAATTCCCAAAACAGAAAAACGTCTGTTAGCAGGGTAGTACTTTCTGTTTCTACATATTTTTCCCACAGAGCTGGCAAGTAAAATTAATGACGGTTTTTTTCCGCAGGTCAACGTAGAGCGCTTTGCGGCGAACAGGCTTGGGAGGTACTTCTAATTCTAGTTGCTTACAAATGTTTGGAAACATTCCAAGTTTAAGTCGCTCCAGAGATCCTGCCTTGGCCATGGTACAGATATCGTGCTGATCGTAAGTGATGGGATGCTGTAGCGTGATGGATAGGATTGTTTCTCTTGCCATGGTAAAGTTTTCCTCTTCTACTACAGCTTGGATTTCAGCATCGTCGGATGTTTGCCGTCGGACCTTCGCTGCAAGACGTGAGAGATATAAAGTGCACTGCTGCGGGGTAGGAAACTCGGATACTTTGAACAAACGATCACCATCAGGTCCTTTTGCACGTCTCATTTCACGTGATACGATATCATCGTCTAGTTTTCTGCGGCTGGTTTGACCAATTGTAAACTTCGCATTTAGATAATCCCTCTGGTTTTGGTTAAAGCGATATGCTTTTTTGCTCGGCTTTAGCGCCCATCCTTCTTTTACCTCTACTTCGCCGGATGTAGCCTCTCTTGTATCCCTAAAAGACGCAAACGAAATAACTTGACTGGTCGTGCCCTCCTCCGACCTGGACTTGTAGCCTAGTTTGGCAAGGTCTAACAAAGACCGTTTCTCTAAAGACTTGGGGCATTTCTCTAAAGATAACTGTTTTTCGAGAGAAGACAGCCTTTGAAAGACCCTAACACACCCATCCTGAGGGCAGGTAAACACGGATGACGATTCATTTGTATTGACAGTGGGATCATGAACCTGCTCCACTTCCGTCTCTTGCTTCTTCCTTGACTGAGTCGGTTTTGGGCTAAGGGGTTTAAAGTTTCCAGAAGAAAACTCAGATGACAGCCAACTAATGCCATGTTCTGAAGTAGATAACATATAAAGAAACAAGATTTACATAAAAAGCACTGTTCACCTACTTCAATAATTTACTCTGCACAGCCTGTGAAGAGTGCCCCTTTGGTCCACTTTACTGCGCGAACAGATGAAACGTTTGCTTTTTACATATTATGACGACATTTTCTTCAGAACCGCTATATTCTGCGATGTTCGTTTTAAAAATTTTGTAGAACAAATCAAGGGCTACAAATTTATAAAGGGGCTAAGGGGCTTAAGTCTTTTACAAAGCAAAACCCCTCGGGGTGGTAGACACCCGCTCTTCCTGCGCACCAGGGTGGGAAATGGATGCCTTTCATACGTCTGAAGGCTATAAAAAACGATAAACGTACACCTTTTTACTCAAACTATAAAAAAAGAGTTTGCGCGGTGACATAATTCTAAAGAAGAATAAAATTGTGAATTTTCATTGGACTAACCTTCTAATGTTGTTTCCAATGGGATCTCTTTTCCCTTTCCCATACCATAAGCGCGCCAAGCTACGAGAATTTCGTCTTTAAACTCGAAATTGTTTCATTCGTTGATACCAATAATCTTTCTGTTGTCATCTACTATTGCTTCTTCTTCAACACTTTGCATGACAGCAACTCGAACTCCTTCTACCCCCCTATGCGAAAGAAGAGCACTCTTCAGTTGTTCGGCATTGGTCACGTCATTTCCTTCGTTTATGAAAGTTCTGACGTGATTCTTGCAGGTTGCAGCGAGCCTGTCTGCGGCACCTTTTCCACCCTGTGGGTCAGAAAAGTCAATGCGCTTGATTTCGATGCCGGTGCAGGAGGATATCACTTGGCATGAGAGTACGGTGGACGACGAATGATAACATCCTGCGTTATCTTGGCGAAAGAACTTCTTGTTAATCTCATTGTGCTCCAGCTTGATGGTATTCAGGACATCCTGCATGATTTTAACCACTGCAGCACTGCCTTGATTGCACGACTGGATTATGTGCAGAAAGCCCTGTCACTGGACTACCCCGTTCACACGACGGTAGACGACAGAAAAGTGCCAGGAGATGCCTCGCTTACCAACTTGGTTTGAAACCAGTCGGTGTCTGCCACAAAAATACAGAGAGTTCCAAACCGACTGGTTTCAAACCAAGTTGGTAAGCGAGGCATCTCCTGGCACTTTTCTGTCGTCTTTTCTGTCTCTGGCCCAGTCGTTAATTATCAAGACAGTGTTGTCGTCAAGTTTCTCCAGTGCATCTAATCTCGCTTGGTCTTGGTTAGCTGATCTAAGGATGTGGCATTTCCAGGACATTATGGCCAGCTGGGCTGTCTGGAATATAAATAGCGCTTCGTCTTTCGCGCTCTGAGTCGGAAAGGTCGTCTCGCCAAGGACCCGTTCAATCTTTGCCAGAGTTTCCTGAAGACTTTGACAACGGCCACAAAGATGAGTGTGTTGGTGACTGCATTGTTGCTGGTAATCTGCATCACTACTGTCGCTAAGAGCAAACAACACACAGTGGTCTGCTACGTTAGAGAGGCTAGTGACATGAACCTATTGACAAAACAAAGTTGAGATTACTGTTTTTCTGTGCTTATACTTCAATATAATATTTAATCAAATGATTTTTTACTCTAACAAATATTATTAACGTAAGGGGGCGAATAACTTTTAACCTTAACCTTAGAAAAGACCACTATCGTCGTGCGCGCATTGTTAATCTCGAGAATTTATGTAAGCTAGTTACACGTGCACCATTTAGAGAAGAAAAAGAGTACAAAATATATTTTTTTTTTACGGAATGATTTTCTTGACGAGGTAAAATAAGTCCTTATTTTTAGTTTTATTCAAGCTGTCTTTCTGGCGTTAGAATTCACATTACCTTATAGTCCCCCTTCAAATACTGCTTGCTTGTCATAAGAGCTTGCACAACTGTAGTCTCCCACTCCTTTCCGGAACCTATTTCCCCTATTTGGCGTATGAGGACCACGAGATCATCAAATGCGCGAGCACCTTCAGCTGCAAAATAATCTAAGCCCTGCAGTGATTTTCTTACAGAGGCACTGCACTCAGAGAGTACTCGTCTCATAGTAGTTTCCCTGAATGGGAAGTTGGTCTCCAAACAGTACTGAGTGTACTGTTGTACCACTCGCTCGGGTATCATCATACGGATTGCGTTAGGTACTTGAATAACCTCACCAGACGAAAGCTTGAGATGTTTTTGCCCAAATGGAAGGTCCTGAACAAGATGCGGGCTCGTGATGAAACCAAGAAAGTGGCCAAGCTGCCTCAAGTCTACTCGTATTCGTGTGGTAGGCTGATGTGGAACTTAAGCGCCTCGGCCAGACTGTGATCGATGAAGATTAGCCATGGAGTATCGGTATCTCTCCTTGTCTGACGTTGTCTTGTTCGCTCAGAGGAATCACTCCAAGAAAGCCATGGCTTTCCAAGCGGTTCA